AAGAAGAAGAAGAAGAAGAAGAAGAAGAAGAAGAAGAAGAAGAAGAAGAAGAAGAAGGTGCATGCTAGAACACAGTGGCTACTAGATTGGGGCTGAACTGTGGAACTAGCAGAGGGATTTGGAGCTGGTCACTCTTTCTCATCTAACACATTTCACAAAGTTGTTGTGAGACTGAAATGTGAGAAGAGTTATTAATATACCATCTTGAGCTTTCAAAGGAGATCAGTGCAACCAATAGGTAATAAATTGATACAATTTGATCAATGCCCAGTTTTTCCTTTTCTGACAAGCTACATTGATCAAATTCTCCCTCTTTGCTGCAGCTGTGAAAATTGGAGGCTTAGTATTAGTCTTCCCTGGCTGGAAAATCAAGTTTTTCCCCCTCCCCTTAGGCCAAGCGAGAGATACGGACTAATAACAACTGCAGACCAAATGAAGGCAGAACAGACAGCCCCCAAGTCTTACAGGACGAGGAGCAAGAAGGCACCATTTCATATGCAAGACTCCAGTTCCCCCCCACTGGGTCCAAGGAGCACACTGTTTATTCCAGGTATGATGGTAAAGTGATCAGGGAGCCAAGGAAATTGGGAGGGAGACAATGCTGGCTTCAGTTTTTAGGAGGCTTTTGATAAGGTGACCTGCTCTGCCCCTTCCCTGACTATGCCTACTCCTTCCTCTTCATCATTGCTCCTACAGTCCATCTATTTGCCATTCTTTCTGGACTCACCAGCATCTTTTGGGAAAGGGAGGCAGGGAGGATGGACAAGTTGAGCTTCTCTGTACTTTTTTTTACTGCTTGCTCACTTGGAGTGAGAAGGTGAAGAGCCGATAGCAGGAAGGAGAAGAAAGAGCAGCCACAGGGTCAGGAGCTTACAGGGACTGGCAGTGGGCCCCCAACTGGTAACACAGGCCTTGACAGCTCTTGGTGTTAATCCTGGTTCAGTGCAGAGGTCAAGATAAACTCCTTTAGATTAGGGATCTGCAGATCTTAGAAGGGGGTGTTTTGCTTCAGTGAAGGTGGAAGTAAAATTCATCTCCAAAGTATCAAAGTATCTTCTAGCTGGTAAAGTGGGTAGTGTTGTTTCCCTTTGCTTAGTGAAAACTACTTCTGAGCACAGTGCCTGTGCAAGTGGAAGTGGTCAACTGAGGCCCAACTTGCAGAGGTGGAGTTACTGACATCCACAAGATGCTACACTAAATCAGTTTGAAGACGATCAGCTGTGGTTCATGCAGACCTACATTAGATTCCCATGAGGTTGACTAGATAAAAGACAAAAGAGCAGATTATTGCCTCCTTGGCTGCTACATGTCCACACAGGAGCTCTGTCTTTGAAACTGTAGCCATATTTTTTCAGCTTATTGGCCCCAGAGCCACTTAAGTTCCTGTCCACAAAGGAGGACAGCAGAGTCCCCATGATCCTAACTAATGGATAAAAAGGGGAATTCCAGTTAGCGTCCTACAAAACAAGCAAAGCAGAAGTCAACTAGAGATACTTAAGAGATCATAAGACTTTGCTTCTCCTTTCCAGATTTTATTCTATGTTATATTTTTTTAAAAGTTATTTTAAAGAGAAGAAGCAAATGATAGCAAGGCAACTGGGGCAGCACGAGTGAAAGACTGGTAACCAAATAATCTTCTCACATGCTTAATGTCCTTTTGATTACAGGGTCATGAACCGGAACTTGGCACCAGATTCCTCAAATGACAGAGTGATCTACAGTGTAGTAAAGAAACTTGAACTTCCCCCCAAGGTACATGCCATATTTAAGGCAGATTTCTGTAGGTTATGACAGGGGGGCATTCTTAATCTTGTAGCTCAGCTTCCCAAGCTCCCCTGATATGGCTGGGACTGCAGATCTCAGAATGTTCAACCAGCACATCTGGAAGGTATCTGTCTGGGGAAGGCAGAAGGCCTTCTTCTTTCCTGTTTCATTCTATGTTAGAGATAGAAAGGTTTGGGTAGATCATGCAGATGAATAGAAATGAGTCTGCTACAAAGTGTTCCATTCCTAACACCATCTTGGTGGTAATACTCAAACTTATTTTATATTGACTTTCTACTCAAGAATCAGGACCAGGTATATGTGAGTCACCAGATGTGACCCTCACCAGATATGTTTGGAGTACAATTTCTATCACCACCAGGCAACCTTTCAGGGGTCATGCTGGCTTGGGACAATGAAATTTGAAATTCAATTTATCTAGGTGAGAAAGCCACGGTCTTTTGATTTGGTCTCTCTTTTGCAGATTTTTTTTTTTTTTTACAATTTATGAGAAACGATCACCCTTGAAATAGTATTTTATTTCTCTAAAAAAGACAAACATGTGTTTCCCTTTTCCGGGCTGAGTTTCTTCAGTATGTGATGTAGTCCCAAGGGCTTCTGCTGTTGACATTCTTCCTTCTTGGGCTTGCCAGCTTTTATTTTTGTAATGCCTCTGGACTTTTATTTAGCAACATGAAAAGCAGAAATTGAATCATGAGTAAGGATGGGCAGTTTATTTATTTATTAAAACGATTTGTATGGCCCCCCAACTCACGGTGACCCTGGATGGCTTACAGAAATAAAACCCCAAGTTCAAATCCACTATACCCCCACCCCCCTGGCAACAACAATACATAGTTTGAGCTAATTTCTCATTTTCCCAACATGAAATCTTCTTCAGCCCATTTCTACAAGAGCTTGCAGATTTATTTGAAAAATGAAAGGTTTGCAAAGACATTCATTTGCATTTCCATGTGCATTTTCCATATGTTTTTGTGCACACTTACCTGGCATGTGCACTTTTTGCAAACAATTTTCCTTTATTTTGAAGGGCGACACATAGACTTTAAAGAGATGGTAGATAGATAGATAGATAGATAGATAGATAGATAGATAGATAGATAGATAGATAGATAGATAGATAGATAGATAGACAGACAGACAGACAGAACTTTAATGGGACTATGGGACTTTTTCAGTTTAAGTGTTTTTTTTCCCTTCTAGTTTAGGAAGTGCGGGCATCTAGAGAGGCTTCAGAATGATGAAAAGCTGTATAAAGTAATAGAAAACCATAGTATTAGCAGTAGTACTGTCCATTCCCTTTAACAATAAATTAAGCTGAAAAACACCACACCATCACAAAGAAAAATGGGAAAGAGGTGTTCACTGAGAATAATTAAGAAAAACAGAAGGAAACTTTGAGAAATTGCAAGGCAAACTTTGATACAGGACTGACTTCAAATCAGTTTTGGCTAGGTGACATCTAAAAGATGAATTTCACCTGACCCATCAGTTGGAAAAAATATGGTCTACACTGACAGGTAATGGCTCACCTGAATTTCAGAGAGGAGTCCTTCCCAGATCATTTGGAAGTGCTGTTAACTGAACTTGTTCACATTTAAAGCATATTGTCTACCAGAATCTATTAGCCTTTACCTAAACAAGTTCCTTCTCCTCCTGTTTTAGAATGACACCAAGGTGGATTATGAGAATGTTGTGAACAAAGAAGAAGAGGAATTGCACTACTCTTCCTTGGTGAACCTGACGCCACGGTCCCATCCCATCAATGCAGACTTAGAAACAGATTCTGAATCAGAAGACAGCATCCAGTATGCAGCTCTGAAGCACTGATCTATTTAGGATCACAGAGATCAGGACTCTTCCCATTCCACAACTGGGGAGTGGGAATGAATTAGAATTGGGTGTGTCTATAGCTTTCTTTTTACAGCCAAGAATTGCAGAGCTCTGCGGGTAAAAGAGGAAAGATAAAGTAGGATAAGGAGCCAATAAAGCCAGCATTTATGTTTATATTATGTGTCCAAGTCAACAACTGGAGGTATATGGCTTTATAAGGGTCAGCTTTCAACATATCAACCTAATTCACTGATGGGTGAGATATCCTTTTCTTCTTGACTAATATAGCTTGCTCTTCTCTTTCTGATGTTCAATCCACCCATTAGGGATACTGAAAAGAATTGTAGAGCAGATCAGATGATTTTTTTCATGTAGTCTGGTTCTTTCAATTCTGAGTAGTAGCACCTTTCCAGACCAGATATCTTCCAGACTAGAGATCCATAATTTGCTACCTAGCCTATCAAATTGTCACGGATTGGATCTTCTGTGATGGTACAGGCACTTCTAGCTTACTGGTTCCCAACCATGTAGGATCTATTACTAAACAGTTCTCCAAAATAAATTAGACAATTATCCCAGGTACATTTTTTCCTTCTGTGCTTCTCAGAGTATAGTTGGCTTTGCTTGGCCAGGTCAGTTAAATTCCTAGTGCCTGCATTTGCATAACAATCTCAGCTTGATGAGTTTAGCCTTGCTTTTGTGTGTTTCTGTGCACACATGTGGCTTAAAGTGTTGGGCAAACCGAGCCCATTTGGTTAGTGTATTGTTCGATTTGTGCAAGCCCAGTTAGTTCAGCAACTAACTTGTTGAATGAACCCATCATGTGTAGTGATGAAGTTTCCCACCTTTAACTTATGCATAGGGACATAGGAAGCAGTATAATCCAAGTGAAACAACCAACCTTTCCAATTTAGTACCTTCTAAAAACTGCACTATTTTTATGAGATGTCAGAAATTTTTTTTTTCCTAATCTATCTGAGATGACAGGAATTGAAACTGAGATCTCTGGCGAGCAATATATTGCTTCCACCAATGAGCGACAATATGCTTCTATGGTCATTCCACATGGATAGTGAGATACTCCAAGTGAAGAAAGATGTATAACCAGGAGCAGGAGCAGGAGCAGGAGCAGGAGCAGGAGCAGGAGCAGGAGCAGGAGCAGGAGCAGGAGCAGGTTGGAAATCATGGGCTCACACTGATGGACTTCACAGTGCAGGAGACAGAAGGAGCACCAGCACACAGCTGTCCTGTGGTTCTGTCCTGGCTATTTCACTCTGTTGTCTAATAATTGCCAACAAAATGATCAGATGTAAAAAGAGAGAAGGACCTAGCATCATTCTTCTAACTATATCTGTTATGGAATCATTCCAAAATGTATGTTAACAGAAAAATATTAGTTACAATATATTATATATTTGTTTAAAATGGCATATATTAAGTACAAGCTCATTCTGGGTTGTCCTCCAATGTTCAGAAAGTTTGCTTCCTCCCTGAAACAGACTTCTGTTTTTCTACCTCATTCCCAAGATACGTTAGTTGTTTTTTTTTATTTTCTAGACAAAAGATGGGTTCACGTTGGTCTCCTCCTTGCCATGGTGTTCTTCCAGGGAGGCCGTGGGTACAATCTCTCACAGGATTCATTTTCCTACTGATGGCAGAATGTGTTTCCCATGATTAAAGGCTTCCTTACATAAAAATCACCTTGCCGCTAGAAATCTAGAACAGAAAAGGAGCATGGTAGGCCACAGATTTTTCTCCTTGCTGGGCAGGGAGCTTTTTAAGGGAAGGAAGAGTCCATATGCCCTATGTGTAATGCTAGAATACAGATGGTCCAGGTAGATTTAGAAACCTGCTTCCCCTTCACCCAACTGATTAACTGTGTAGACGTAAGCACCACAGAAAATTATAGTTTAAGGAATGAAGGAAATTTAGCAGCCAGTAGAGTTGGTACCTGTTTCCTTGTCACGTGCTAGGCATGCAAATGGGATGACTTTGTAAGTAATTCTTACACCCTCTCCCTGCTTGAGAAAGCAGGAGTCCTATTGATCAAAGAGTTTTAGTGGCTCTTAATGACACCAGCCATCAGCAAATCAACTGTTGGAGGAAGGAGTTGGGGTGAGGAGACTGAACCATGCCCACCGCTTAGAGGAAGACAAACAACAGCTGTAGGCAGGGGAGGTCAAACAGCAACTTGGTCAATATTCTTCTTTCATTGGCTAGATAAGTGTCAGAGAAGGCATTATGGGGCCCATTTCCCCTCTAACCAATCCTGACCTTTTGGACATTTTATCAGATAACACCAACCTGTTTGCATTTGTGCCACGCAACCGTGCAGCAGGCTGAACTGCTATGGAAGCCTTGCTGATTGACGAGGCTGCTTTGTTGACAGAATGAAAGTGTCGACCCAGTTAAATGTAGTGTAGCAAAGTGCTTAGCTATCTGGGGAAGACACGCCTTGGGGCTGGATGCTTCCAGAAGATGCTGACTCTGATGCCTTCAGAAGATCCAGAGCCTCATATACCAAAAGGAAGAACTTTCCCACCTTCCTCACCCCCCAAAAAATCACAGCAGGTTTGGCTTCTTGCATTGTGGAGGGGATTAATAGATAGTATTAATGACTCTTGATTGCAGTAAACAGAGGGTTGAGTTTTGGTCCCAGTGCATGGATCATACATGTTGTAATCAAAATGGCTCCTTCTCCAAGAGTGAGTGAAAGAATACAAATGACCATCTCAATGAAGGCTGGTGATGGGTTTGAAAGGCTGCTTCTTTGAACCATTACTTTATCATATAGCCCCATAACTCAAGGACATAGCAGGGGCCCTCGGACACTCTTTCCCAGTCTTCTGAGCATGCACAGAAGACAGTTCTGCTGGAATTGTAGGGAATAGTTTGCAAAGCCTTAATGTAATGCCACCATTGCTGCCTGCAAATCCTACACAATGGTCCTCAAAATCTATTTTGCTTTAATTTTTTTGCTGAAGAAACTGATAGCATATATCTATCTGGCTGAACCATCTTTTCAATTAGGAAATAAATCTGTGAGATAAATACTAAAAATAAAAATAAAAAAACCCTCCCCAGATAATTTCACTTTTGAGATGAACAGCTTCTCTCTTTGATAATGCTTCCTTGCTGACTAAATTTGTATGTGTGTGGCTATGCAGCCATTTGTCCGTCCATCCATCCATCCATCCATCCATCCATCCATCCATCCATCCATCCATCTACTCCCTCATGTCTCGTGGTCACTGATATAGAGGAAATGTTACCATTTTTCAGATATATTTTCTGTTCTTGCATTTTAACCAAATTGCCCAGGGTTATATTTATTAATTCAGGGGTGTGTTATATTAAAGAGACAAATTTGTCCTTCCTGACTGACTCACTTTAGAGAATAAACTTTCCACTAGTCATCAGAGCATGCTTCCTTCCTGAGATACTCAATCTATTTTCACACTCTGGCAGAATATAATATGAGACGTCATTTAAATACAATTGGTCAAGATCTGAGGGTTATTTACAGAGGCTGAATATATAATGAGTTTATATTATACACATGTACAGCCACATTCAGATACACACAGAGGATGAATATATCTGAATCTATATCATCAATATTTTTATCTAATATCTTTATCTGTATCTGTATCTGCCTTTTCCTCTCAAAGGTTCCAGAGTCACTTAGAAACAGGTTTTCCTTTTTTATTTGGATGGTTGATATCCTGCTTTAATTCAACATTAACAATATTTTTAATACAACGTGCTGATAAAACAACATAAAACCAAGCAATTGATTACAGTATAATCTTTGTCCATGAGGGTGTCCATGGGGTGGTAGTGGTAAAAAAAAGAAGCAAAAATGTTGGCCACAACCATATGATTAATGGCGTGCTCCTTTTTTACCCATATCACAATGCACATAAAAAGGTGTGGGGCTCGGATTTCATGGTCGTGGCTGGCAGTCTTGACTTTTTTGACCCCCTCGCTTTGGATACCCCAGATCATTCAACATCTGTTTAGAAGTGATGAAAGGAGGGTTTGGATGGACTTTGTTGGGTACTTTCACCCAAAATATTGTGCCTGTGATATGCTATGCTCACAATTTGGGGAGAATCATAAGAGATGATGCCAGAAGACGTGGAATGTTTCAGGTTTTGGATATTTGTGAATTCCAATATGAGGTGACTTACTCCACATTTCCAGAGTTGGTGTGCAGCAGGGACCAAGCTTCTAGGAGGTTCATGCCTTTTTCTTCATCACTTGCTTCCTCTTCCTGTTCCCCAGAATAGTCAGGCATAGTAAGAAGCCCAATGGGCCATGAGAAACTTCCTATGACTTTACAGGGTTTATGGCTTTATTGCCCTGGCTCACAGTCCCTTTCAATGAACAATTTCTCATGGTCCATTTCATCAAATGCTGCCTTGTTCCATGCTTCTTGCATCTGCTCTCTCACTCGCTCTCTCTCGCACACAGCTATTTAACAGCTAAACTTGAGACGTTCTCGGCACTGCTGGCGAAGCTGTTTGAAAATGGACGAGAGAAACAAGTAGATAAGCAAGCGTTGCTCCTTCCTGCTCGTTGATTCTGATGCAATGGGAATTTGGGAGATCATTTCTTTGGTGGTCTATGGGGCAACCATCCTCTTGGGATTGCCTTCCAACATCCTGGCCCTTTATATCTTCTACTGCCGGGCCAGGGTTCACCTGACCCCCAACCTCATCTATATGATCAATCTTTGCCTCTCTGACTTGGTCTTCATCCTTTTCTTACCTCTCAAGATGCTGGAAAAAGGGAAGGTAGACTGGACCATGCCCGGCTTTCTGTGTCCTCTTTATAATTTGATTCATTTTGGCACAATTTACACCAGTGCCTGTTTTCTAACAGCTGTGAGTGTGGGGCGCTTTTTGGGAGCTGTTTATCCCATCCATTATCAAGCTTACAAAAAACCTCGCTATTCCTGCCTGGTTTCTGTGGGGATCTGGAGCTTGGTAGCTTTCCATGGCGTCCTCCTCTTTGCTCTCGAGACCTCCAGGGACACCAATTCCAGCCTTTTTGCTGGTAACAGCTCTTCCTGCTACTGCAACTTCAGTGAAGACCAATTGGCTTTATTGGCCCCTGTGCGGCTGGAGCTCTCAGTGGTCTTGTTCTTTCTCCCCTTGCTAATCACAGCATTTTGCTATGCTGGATGTATCCGTGTCCTGGTTGGGTCGCATCTCCACCTGCGGAAGAAACGCCGTGCTGTACGGGTGGCGGTGGCCACTTTATCTGTTTTTGTCCTCTGTTTTGGCCCGTATAACATATCTCATGTGGTAGGCTTCATCTATGGGGAGGACGTTTGGTGGCGCACCGTGGCTCTGCTGCCAAGTGCATGCAATGCCTTTCTGGACCCCCTCATCTTCTACTTCCTTTCCTCTGCCATGGATGATGGGATTGTACAAGTTTGGCGCTCCCTGAGACAGAAATGTAGCTCCATCCGGATGAAGATTGTCTTGGCTCATGGAAAAGCAAGGAGCCATCAAGGAGACAGTGGCATTGCCTGAACAACTGGGAATTCTTCATTTTCCACCATGCCTTCTGTCCTGTAGCCTCTAACATATGGGGCAATGGGATTGGACTTTAACCATTCAGAAAGGGAGTTTGGCTTCTCAGCATCCATGATGAAGAACAAATATGAGCTGTGCTGTATTTACGCAGCATATATTCTGCCTGACCAAATTATAAGATCAAGGATTTATAAGGGTGAGGTGTCAGCTAAAGAAATGTCATCTTAGGTCTGTATCTTTTTTGATATTTTTGGGTCACTTTACATGGCACTGAGAAGACAGCAGTGGAATTCAGTGGGGGAGAGCAAATCTAAGTGAAAGATCTACCCCACATAAACTGGAACTTTATCTTGCAAGCATTTGATGAGATCAACAGCAGAAACCTGTGGAGAAGTGAGAACATTCAACAGTAACGTGTTCACGTTTCTGGAATTAGATTGGAAAGGTGAATTGAACAACAGGATTAGTGTCAACCATCCAGAAGGATTACAGATTCTGAGATCTTTTCTTCTCTTTGGAAAATAGTCTACAGAAACTGAGATCACCACTAGGGGGTATGCATGCATTTCTCAAGGGCTAAGATGTTGGTAATCCTGAATGTGATCAAATATATGCTATCTGTGTCAGCAGGGCAAAAATGATTTTGTATTGTTGAAGGCTTTTACAGCCGGAATACGATGGCTGATGTGGGTCTTCTGGGTTGTGTGGCCGTGTTCTGGAAGTTTTGGTTCCTAACGTTTCGCCAGCATCTGTGAGCAGCATCTTCAGAGGAGCTGTGCTCCTGTCCTCTGAAGATGCTGGTCACAGATGCTGGCAAAATGTTAGGAACCAAAACTTCCAGAACACGGCCACACAGCCTGGGAGACCCACATCAGCCATAGCAAAAATGATTGTTTATTTAAAATATATGGAGAAAGAAACTGACAGAGGATCCTTAATGATTTTATTTTAGTCATATGTACTCTGTAAGTGAAGATTCTGTCCTTCTAGAGTAGGGAAGTTCTATCTTGTATGTTCTTTTAGTACTTTAGAAATAATATTCCAGGATCTTCTCTACAGCCAGTGGCTGATGACATCAAAAAGAACAGAGGGACGGACAAAACCTTTTGTTCTCACTCTTAGAGGCCTTCTTCCTAATATTTGGTGCTGGAGGCAACCCTCCCTTTCTGCATAATTGGGTTTAAGTATAGGGAAATTAGGGAGACCCTTTCACTCATTCTTTCTCAGCTCAACCTACCTCAGAGAGTTATTGTTTTGGGGAGAAATAGGAGGAAGGAGCCCTATATCCATCACCTTGAGCTCCAGAATGTAAAGGAGAAACAGGCCACTAATAATTAATAAAATAAATCAATTGTCTCAGGGTACAACTTTTTGTTCTCAAGGACAGTATGGAGCAGTCAGTGCACTTATGCATATGTTTGCACAGACATGTACACACACACACATGTTCTCCCTTTTGGAAAATGGAAGGAAAGGCCATATTTCACCCCAACTCGCTGTTTAGTGAGTGAGGTTGTGACAGGGATTGGAATGACATCCAGGGGAGATAAATGTTTTCCCACTTGTAGACTTAGCTGCATCAGTATCACTGGGGAGAGAGAACTAAATGTCTTCTGCTCATTGATCTAAAAATCGATTCCACTCTCAAACTGTGCTTACATTATGATTTTTTTCCTCTTATCATTCATCCAGCATCCACCTTTGTGTATCTCAAGATCATTTTTGTGTCATACATTTGGAATGACTGAATGCAGATTATGGTCTTCTCCTGCATGGCACCCCTTCACACTTTTGAAGAACATGCTCATATCACCCTACAGTGATCTTTTCTTAAGGCTAAATAAATTCCCTTACTGTTTACTCAGAGGAGTTAATTTTCTGATCATCTTCATTACCCTTCTTTGCATCTGCCCAGGGATGTCAAGGACATCTTCAGGTATCAGAAGGATTATCCTGTAGAAAAGAAGGTGGACATTCTTCATGTCCACAGATGGCAGGACCAGAATTAATGGGTTAAAACTGCAAAGAACTAGGTTCAGGCTAACTGTTAGGAAGAGCTTCCTGTCTGCATGAACTGACAGCCAGTGGAACAGACTGCCACATGAAATGGTGAGTTCTCCTTCACTGGAGACAAACAAAAGGCTGGAGGGTCATCTGTCAGAGATGCTATGGTGGATCTTGCATTGTGCCAGGAGTTGGACTAGATGACCTCTGAGGTAGCAGTACATTTATTTATCGTGTGCCTATAATAAAGTGGTCCTTTCCAACTCTGTGTTTGTATGAACTAGACACAGGATTTGAAATAAGATCTGATCAATGGAGAAAAGAATGAAACTATTACTCCTTATAATTTGGGAATTGTATTTCTATTAATGATGTCTCAAAGTCTATTTACCCCCCCCCTTTTTTTTTGTAGCTGGTCATTCTGCTCACTCATATTCTGCTTGTGTCTGCCCTGATGATGCCAGGAAAAAACCCCACACACTTTTGTTTACTAATTTTAAAGTTATACATTATTTCTTTTGATTGCTTTATTTATTGTACACTACCCTCAGTTCAAAAAGGATGAGGTTGTATAAAGTGTTGTAAACAAATGTGGCTGAAAATGGGAAAGGGCGGGGGGAGAATGTTCTCCAGGTTTCTGACAATTTGTGGTTGTAATCTGAGAAAGTGGAACGTGGAAAGAGTGAAATTTCATTTTAGCAAAAATAAGAACATCTAGTTGCCTAAGTATTTAAACTCTAAGGATCAAGCCAGATTTTGTTCCTAGAACAAATGGCAACTTTTAATTTAATTTCCTTTCTTCCCCTGTATAACGTGTTGTGTTCCTCCTCTTGACTGATGCAAGAAACAAGGTAAGATGTGAAGTAACATTTTCAGTCCCCTAACCACCCGTGATTACACCAAGAACAGCTGGAAGATGTCTTGGCTGCTATTTTCATCTGATTTCAGTTAAAAGCCCAGTGCCTCAGGTTTTCTTGAACCTTTCAATGAAGGGCTAAATAAAAATAACACTTCTGAGCTCAGCTGAGTTACTATTTTCATCTGATTTCAGTTAAAAGCCCAGTGCCTCAGGTTTTCTTGAACCTTTCAATGAAGGGCTAAATAAAAATAACACTTCTGAGCTCAGCTAAGTTATAAATAACTTCACAGACACACCCATGTCATTTTCTTGACAATAATATAGAAATCCTCTGCTGCTGATGTTCCACCTGCTAAGCTTTCCACACTCACCAAGGTTGACTACATTCTGCCATCTGAAGGGCACTGAAGGTCTACCTTTCTAAAAAAAAA